TTGTCTAGTACAAATGAATCTATAAACGCTCTGAATCTAATATGTTACCATCAACAGTGAGGTTCGATCAGATCGATATAGCTATGATAATAATAACAAACTAAAGCCAAAGAATCCATAAAACCATCTATATATTGACAGGTTCATGAAAAACATGCTATATGTGTGAAAGCACAGGCGAATCGGCTAAAATAGCCGATTCAGGTAGAAAAAAAATATAGCATGTAAACAATCGACTATTTAATATGAACAGATTTATAAACTCGTTAAATCTAACATATTATCTTTAACAGTAGGGTTCGACCGGATTAATGGCAGCCATAATAAAGATAACATATTAAACCTTTAAAATAAATAGATCTATTCATATTTAACAAAATCATAAAAATATATTATAAACGTTAAAGTACGGGCAATCGGCTATTTAGCTGATGCAGGGATAACAAACAGCCAAGGTCATGCATGGCCGAAAGCAAATCTACCAACTAGCATACTTTGATTTTAAGTGGTAACAGTGGGGATCGATCGGATCGTTACAGCCATAATAGCGAGCTATAGACCAGATTCAACTAGCTAGTAAACCTACTCAAGATCAGATATGCCTTGGCCGCGTACTATGCACGATCAAGATCGAAGTAGGACAGCCGATAAAACATAATCCATCGTTTGAAGTAAAAAAATATCGCAATATAGCAAAATAAACGATGGACTAAAAGGATGTGAGGCCGATCTAGATCGATCTCGATCGGGCAGGTTGATATTGCTGAAACTAATGACAATAAAAGCATCAGCAAGATCGATAACTTAATGAATCTACCCGAAGGATGCCATCCTTTGGTAGAGCCGGTAACTTGACCTTAATCTAATTCGAGAAGTTGAGCTTAATCGATGGCAGCCGTACTTAAACTAGATAAGGATCGATAACTAACTTATACTAAAGCTCATAAGAGGTCGGCCGGACCGATATAGCCTTACAAACAAAAGTATAAGCCGTGACGGTACTCACAGACAAGCCAGAGGTCGACCGGATCGATGCAGCCCTACTTGTTGAAGAACTCGTCGAGATTTACATTACTCCTACTCCTAAGGGTTGACGTGAAGCCAAAAAAGTAAAGACCGATTTGATTGATGTGTGATGTCCTCAATACAATGACCAGGGGTTTCTATTTATACCCTAGACTGACACAAAGTCCTAACTATACACGACTAGACAATTGTTAGACGAAAAGAAAGCAATCTAATTTTACATAGGACTCCACAATTTCCATTCGTGTAGAGCCTATCTCCGTTATACCCGGGCCAATGCTGCTGATGTCGTAGCCTTTCACGATCTTGTGCATGAAGAATTCCTTTTGTTACTCCTTCCCTTTTATTCTTGTGCACGTGTATACGATCAACCAACACATAGACTAGCCTTTTTAATATTGTGTGCATGCACGTTATTGCTCTCCAATACTTTCACGTGAGGAGCAAACCTGTCCATCGACTTGGCTTGTATGTACACCATCAACCAAGGCAGGTAACGTGATATATATGGAGTCTGGCTGGTCCTGATTACTTCGTGTATGAATAATAAAATATTTTGGCCATGATGTTAATCTCGTTGGATAATGAACATCCTTTCTGATGTATCACTAGCTTGTTTCTCCATACTTGTTGCTCTTGCTATCCATCATACTTGACCGAATATAATAATCAGCCATGCACAAGAATGATACGTGCACTTTCACCAATTTTTTAGCTTCTCCTTGCCTTTTCGTTTATTCCACGTGAAGAGGTCTTCAACATCAGACTTATCAAAAATATAGTAAATAATATTTTCTAGCCAGCTTCAAATTTCGGTGTCAACAGCAGTAAACGATCGAACGCTTAGTTTGCAGCGTTAGGTCAACATCAGAGAGGGTCCAGAGACTAAAATTCCTGACCGGATGCGTCTGGTGCATGTTGACCGGACGCTGGCCAGCGTTAGGTCACTCTAACGGCCTTCCCTGACAGGCTAACACCATGTAGTCGTTGGTTATTGACCGACCGGTGCGTCCAGTCACCTCGAAAACTGCTGAGTTGGACAATAACAGTTATGTTTTAAAGTGGGGAGTATATATACTTCTCCTACTCGTTCAACTTAGCTCTCTTGCCCATTTGTTCAGCTGAGAAACACCTTTGGAGTGCAAAGAAGAGCAAGAGCCTAATGTGGTGATTGAGATTTGATAATATAATATTAAGGACCTTATTAGTGCATAGGGAGTAGCAAGTGTGCATCCACCTTTCTCATTAGGCTTGTCTTGGTCAAGTAAGAGTTTGTGCTTGTTACTCTTGGTGATCGTCATTACCTAGACGACTTGGTGATGATTAGAGACTTAGTGATCATCCGGCGGAGCTTGTGGATGACCCAAGTTATGGTGTGAGCGGTTGTGGGCGATTCACCGCAACGGAGTGTCAAAGAATCAGCCCATAGAGAGCACTTGATCTTTACGCGGATCAAGGGGAGCTACACCCTTACGCGGGTGCTCTAACGAGGACTAGTGGGGAGTGACGACTCTCCGATACCTCGAAAAAACTTCGCCGCGTTCCTCTTCTTCTCTTTACTTTGAGCATTTACATTTGAGCAATTCAATTCATATCTTTATATTCTCATGCTAGAGTAGGATTAGAACATAGAGTATAAAACTTTTATGCTGAGTTAAATATAGAATTTAATTATTGAAAAAAATTTAGAGTTAGCCCAGCTCACCCTTATCATCTTTGATACTTTCAGGCGCGTGCACGGCGTGCCCTGCGGTGTGTTGCGGCAGCACAAGCGCCGCTGAAAGGGTGGTCCCACGGCTAGCGGGAGGAGGAGGGTCCGCTGCTCAGTGTCTGGGAGGCTGTTCCCTGGAAAACGGGGAGGTCGTGCACACACGGGGGAGGGTCCGCGCGTCAGCGGCGCTGGGGTAAGGGTGGCTCGCGTCAATGGATGTGCCGCCGGCCCCGTCCACTTCGCTTGGATGAGGAGACGCCGAGGCTGCCGCGAGGTGGGCAATCCGGTTACTCGGCGTCCTCTCTTTTCCTTGCTTTTTCCCTGTGTCCAATGCTGCTTTGATCCGTGCGGCTCGCCGCGCGTGGGTTGTAGGTGTTGGAGAGGTGCGGTGGCTCGTCGGCTCGCCGGATTTGTGAGGTAGGGGGGCGGCGGCGCGACTGCAGCGGACCTCGGACGGCGAGCGGACGCCGTGGCTGCGGCGGACAGTCTTCGCGTAGGTATGGTTCCTCGGTAGTGATTTTCTCAGTACAAGTGTCCAACATTTTGATCCTTTCTCCTTTTGGGGGCCTCCATTTTCCCTTCATGTTTGTCAATGTCGCGCTGCTTGTTCGTCTTGCCTTTTCTGAGCGTCTATTTTTGGGTTCGCGTTGGTCAATATCGTACTGCTTGTGCGTTTTTTTTTTGGGGGGGGGGGGGGGGGGGGGGGCGGTAGGGTTTCAGCGTCTTCGAAAGGTATACTATCTTTGAAGGTTTTAGTGTGGTGATTCAATCAAGTTTTTCTAGGTCATGTAGTTTTTAGCCTGGTACTACTTTGACAGAATTAAATGCCAAGTTTTGTAGCAGAGCTAGAGCTGGAGCGAGGGGACTGCGTCACTTAAGCGCGGCTTTACGTTAATGTGCTATATGAATAGGGAAATCAGTAGGCGTGGTACCTCATGGCAATGGTTTTTTTTTTGGACTTGCTTTACAGCATGTGCACCATTTTTCCAGAAGAGTTTAGCATGTGCTTCATTAGGAGGATTAGGGTCTAGATTATAGGAAGAGCATGTGGACACTAATAGGATAGCTTTGAAAGTTTTATGGTGGTAATTCAATCAAGTTTTTCTAGGTCATGTAGATTTTAACCTGGTACTATGACAGAAACAAATCCTAGGTTGGTTGCTGTCTTTCGCGTTGCTTAGTACCATGAATGCCAAAAAAAGAAAAAAGGAGTCCAGGTGGGTTTTCAAGCCTATAAAACTTATCTAAACATATAATTCAAGTGGGAATAGCATCATTAGGATCTAATTAGAGTGCTCAACTTGGTGAGAATTGAAGACAGTTGGGAGATTCATTGAGGTTACATGCCGTGCTTTGTGATGGGTTGAATCCGCTGCTTAGCTAGCACACTGGCCATCTTGGGAGTTGGAACAGAGGAGGAGTGGTCAGATAAAGAGTGGAGGATGCCAAGATGAGAATAGGAAAAGGTCAAAGGCTCGAAGCATCGGTGCATGGGCAGTATAGAGGAGGAGTGGTCAGATAAAGAGTGGAGGATGCCAAGATGAGAATAGGAAAAGGTCAAAGGCTCGAAGCATCGGTGCATGGGCAGTAGGCGAGTGGATTAGCGCCGTGCGTAGGAAGCGATGATTTCTTTTCCCTGATGCATTCTGGATTCTGTTGGTGCAGTGTGCGGTGGGTTCATCGGTTGGATAGAGAATTAGTGGTAACAACTGAGCTATATGATGATGATACTCGAGCTTCGGGACCTGTAATACCAAAAGTACAATGCCTTTGTGAAGTGCAGAACATCTTGCCAGCAAATCTATGATGTGGCTCACCGGTTCTGTGTGGAGTTGGATCCATCTTTTGGGGATATCTATGACTCTACTCAGTCCTTCCGAGGCGTATCGAGCGAACAAACCTTGTCACATGTTGCTGCTTTTGGTGACCGAGTGAGGCTTGAGGCATCGTATGCGGCCAAGGAATTGGCTGATATACGTGATATCATATGCCCCGTGTTCCGTAGGATCAGACCACCTATCAGCCTTACCAAGTTCAAGGACGGACCATCCATCTATCAGGTACCAGCTCCTTTCCCTATGTACATACATTATAGTGCTCATTCTGCTATCCTACGGTCCATCTCCGTGCTATCCTTGATGTCATTTTTTGAAGGTTCCATAAAACACCAGTGTCCATTATCACTAGGGCAACAGCGGATGGAAGCTTCTGTGCATCTATTAAAGGAAGCACTTTCCGCTGCAGATATAAACTTACCAAAACAATGACGCTGTTCGAGGCGGAAGCGGTTTCCATCTGCCGGTTCCTAAGGCCCGCAACACATGTGCTGGGTTATAGCGTAGTTGACCAGAACTACCCTACTCTTGCTAAGTTAGTATCTGAGATGAACAGATATAATGAGCAGATAGCCGAACTTCAGACTTGTGCTGACAAGGCTGTAGGAATGGTACACCGTGCCCATGAAAGCATCAAGGACGTGCACGAGTTTTCCATTAAGGCACGCGAATGTAATACGACAAGCTACTGACATGCACACTTGCCTTGCCAGGAACTAAACATGTCTTTGAAGCTAGAGATGAGGTATGCAAAGCCATCTACATTGGCTTCGGTAAACAGGTGTGTCTTAGTTCTATTCCATGATTTCTAGAAGTTTTCCATTGCACCTAAGCTTTAGTATAGGTACATGTGCTGGTAGCTTTGCCGTGGCCATATATTTCCTCTCAAAATTTAGTTTGGATATATAGGTGACGTGCAGCAGATTAGTGGTTTGGATATATAGGTGACAAACAGCAGATTGGTGTATGGATATAGTGTGCTGATTAGCTTTGTCTTGATTCTAGATTACCTTAGTTGACAATTTAATTTTGGTGTCCATGGGTGTGTTCTCTCCTGGTTGCTGGGCTCAGAACATACCTAAAATCATATCTTCTTTTTGACAGTAATATGTGTATGGTACATCCTCTCTTTGGAATGACCGCCTTCCACATTGCCTAGAAAGATCTGGCTATATGACCATTAGCCACGGCTTATGGCCATGTGTGTTCTAAATCCCAAGTTTTAGATGTAGACGATAGTTTAAGCTCTTCCTTAGTGGCTACTGCTGTTGTTGCAGTTGAAACAGAGGTTTTCAAGGCCTGGACTGCATCTGAGGGAATCCTGGTGAAAGTTTCTAACCATAACGTTTGCCATCTATTTATTGCCATCTGTTTTGACCTGACCTCTATCATGCCGGGTAAAATATGATGGAGCCTTATCATGCCGGTTTTCAACTGACCTCTATTTTGACGATGTAAACAGGTTCTTCCCAGACGCTTTTGATGGAGCTGATGCTGGTGGTTTGTCATAGTGAACCTGCGCACTTAGTTGATCGTGTGATCGTGTTGCATGTACTGTGCTGTGCCATCCCAAGAACTATGTCGGGATCGTGTCGCATGTACTATGCTGTGCCGCCCCAGGAACTATGTCTGACTACCGTTCTATTGTAGAAATGACTGTGTAGGATCTATGTACTGTGCTGCTTTTGCATCTCGCGCTCCAGTTTGGAGATCTGGTTAATGTGGTGGTATTTGTTCTATAGCTTTACAAATACGGCGTCCTGGTCGGCGCACGCAATTTATTTACGCTTTTACCTGTCCACGTAGCGATATTTGTGGTGCCAAACACAAGGAAGGCCGTGATACTATCACCCTAAAATATGTGTTCGCTGTTCTATTCGTTCACCATTTGTTCTAAAAAACATGGTTGATCGTTACTCGCGCGACTAGTATGATGATCTAGAGTGTGTGCATAAGACTTACTCTTAATCAAGACATGGCTTCTCTCTCTTCTATTAAAATATAAGACATAGCTTCTTTTTCTTCTATTAAAATATAAAACAATATGCTTAAAGCTAGCTCATAAGTTTATCATTGGAGGTGCCTAGCAAAACAGGTAAAGTGGAACTTCAATGCTGATTCTGTTGTCCATCTAGTTCACTTTTACATTATATCTGAAAATTATAGCAACTCAGTAAGCCACAAATAATTAAAAACTATGTCGAAATATAAAGCCCCCTTTGGCACGGCTCATCCAAAACGGATTCACCGGTGAAGCCAAAGCCGGTGAAGCCAGAAAAATTGGTTTTTCTCGACTTTTAGTTCATTTTAACCCCGGCTTACAAAACAGCTTCTTCTTTTTCTTCTATTAAAATATAAAATAATACGCTTAAAGCTAGCTCATAAGCTATCATTGGAGGTGCCTAGCAAAACAGGTAAAGTGGAACTTCAATGCTGATTCTATTGTCCATCTAGTTCACTTTTACATTATATCTGAAAATTATAGCAACTCATAAGCCACAAATAATTAAAAACGTACAAATATAAAGCCCCTTTGGCACGGCTCATCCAAAACGGCTTCACCAAAGGAAGCAAACACCCCTAATCAAAATTAGTTTTTCTCTTCTATTAAAACCCCTAAGACATAAGCTTCTTTTTCTTCTATTAAAATATAAAATAATATGCTTAAAGCTACCTCATAAGCTATCATTGGAGGTGCCTAGCAAAACAGGTAAAGTGGAACTTCAATGCTGATTCTATTGTCCATCTAGTTCACTTTTACATTATATCTGAAAATTATAGCAACTCAGTAAGCCACAAATAATTAAAAACTGTGTCGAAATATAAAGCCTCCTTTGGCACGGCTCATCCAAAACGGATTCACCGGTGAAGTATGTTGGCTTTTCTCAGCGACTTCTAGTTCATTTTAACATATTTCTCAAATTTCAAATAAATGAAGTTTATATGTACATATTTCAAAATTCAAATTTGTTTATCTTTGATCAACAGTTAGTTTAACCATACAAAAAAGTTTATAATATAAAAGTGGATATTCTCTTTAATGATCAAACTTTTGTTGCTGTAAATTATATATTATGAGAGAAATTAGTGATAAAGGCCTGTGTTTGAAGACCGCATCGTCATGTTTGATATTTTAAGAAGAGAGTATGAAACCCAGTTAAAAAAAAAACTCGGCCTCAAAATATAGAGATTTCTCTCGAAGTGAAGTGGTGACTTGAGAATGGACTCATCTGTCAGATTTCCAAATTGTGCAAAGTGCAAAAGTTTCAATTGGCCATAAGTCCATAACCCATAGAGGCCAAGCGAGATCAAGTGTAATTTTACACTTTTTTTTTCGATGTCTGATAAGGAAAGACGTCTCATTTGGATCAGGATGGTTCGTGCGGGGTAGTCTTCTCATCCTAACTCTCGATACCTGCCGGTACATCGGCACTGTAAGAGTGACCGGCAGAATGACCGGCAGAAGACGCGGAAGTTTCTCCAACGACGATGACCATGGGGCTCCGCACGGCATGCTTCTCGGACACCCACTTCAGCTCCCCCTCGACCACCGCTTTCGTCGGCGTGTTCGCCTCCCTCTTGACCGTGACAACGAAGTCCCTTTTCTGGCCAATGTCGCTGAACGCCAGAGTCGACGGGTTCACCGCTACGTCGACTCCCGGAGCGAATACCTCCGCGCTGTACGTCTCCTCGGCCTCCCCCACGTTCGTCACCGTCCGCTTCGCCTCCACCCGCCGCAAGTCGTAGCCCGTGACGATCATGATGGAAGGGTAGTTCAGGTCCTTCGCCGCGATCTCCCCGGTCTCCGCGCACGAGGCGTGCGCCGGCTCGACGATTTTGCGTATCCTGTCCTCGCCGAGGCCCATGCCGCATAGATACGGGATGAAGTCACCGGCGGTGAGGTCATATACGAGGCCCGGGTCCATGGCCTTCGTGGGGTTCACCTCGCCGGCGCCCGTCACGAAGTAGCCCGCGCCGTCGCCGGCCATGGCGTCCCCGGGTCCGACCGGGTCGGCTGTTGTGACGATCGCCGATTTAATCGCGGCGGGCGACCACTCCTGGTGCGCCTTCTTGACCATCGCCGTGACGCCGCTGACGTGCGCTGCCGCCAATGACGTGGCCACCTTGATCAGCGTGTCGGTGTACTCCACGTCGCCGTGTGGCGCCACCGCGAGCGTGTTCGCGCACGGCGCGCTGACGTCAGGCTTCAAGATCTTCAAGATCCGACGCGGTGCGTCGAGCTGACGATGTTCGTGACGACACGGCGGTCGGCGTCGCTGACCAACACGCCCTGGCCACGGTGAGACAGCGGTCACGGCGTCGTGCACCGTGCTGTTGAAGGACATCGATATGACGTCGACGCCGTCGTCCACCGCGAGGTCCATCCCTGCTCTTACTTCTTTCGGCGGCACCGCGAACGTGGTACCGCGTCGCCTTCGGCGCCATCGATCGTTGTAGTCGATTCCAAGAACGGATGCGCGCTGCAGGGAATTTCCATGCGCATCACTTGTGTCTACGAATGTTCTGAACCCAATCAGCTTGTTGTTGCATGCTTGGTTGTTGTCACACCTGCCCTTCCACTTGACCGGAGGCGGCAGCATCCCTTCGGCTTCGGAGCTGGCAGTGATGTCGCCAGCGGCGACGCCGGCGTCAAGGATGCCAATGATCATACCGTCGCCCATGTTGCCCTCGCTCCACACGCCATTCCTCACATTGTCAAGACACGAAAGCTCCGAAGAAGCCGGCGTGTCGACGGCCATAAGCTTGTAGCTCTTGTCCGGGATGATCTCGACGAACCAGGGGAGCCTCGCCATGTCCTCGACCTCCTTCCGTGTGAGCCACGCCGAGAACCCGCTCACCACATGGCTATACGAGTAGATGAGGCGCGACTCCGCCGTCGGGAACCGCTCCGCGGTCGCCGGGTCGCTAGTGTTGCACACCTGCTCGAGGAGTTGCGTGTGCCATTGCTCGAGCGCCTCCAGCTCGTCGACGCCAACCAGACCGTCCGGGCGGCGGACGGCGACGAGGTATGCGGCGAGCGGGTTGTCATTGTCGGACGCTCGACGGATGGACGAGATGAGGTGAGACGGGCACAAAACGATGAGGAGGGCGAGGTGAAACCGGGGTGTCATGGTTGTAGCGAGCGAGGTACTTGTGGTGGAGCTTAAAAGGAGCAGAGACAAACGAAACACGCTTTTGTATTGCTTCCTCCAGCTGCAGCGAGTCTAAACTTAGTAAAGGTAACAGTTCGTTTTCAGTGACACGTCATTCTAGCTAACAAAAATTTACAAATTGAGCTAACGATTGGCTTAATTCTCTGATGGTTTCAGTGTGTTAACGAACGCCTAAAGGTAACAGTGTTCCGTGTTCATCTTACGTGACGTGAATTTCAATTGAGCCCCATTGACAACTTCTGCCCAAGACCTATCCACTAAAGCTCGTGGCCGGGTTAAAACCCGCCAGGCTCGGGCCGAGCAGACTCATGGGCTGTTTGGCACAGCTCCGTGTAGCTCCGGCTCCACTCATGTACATCACCGTAGCTCGACTATTTTAGTGTACCTCCGGCTCCACTAATGTACATCACCGTAGCGCCACTGTAGCTCGACTATTTTACATCACTGTAGCGACACTGCAGCACGCAGCCGGTGGAGCTGCAGATCCCGTCTCCTTTCTTTCTAGTTCATTTTTAAGTCTTGGGAAGCAAAACAACTCCTTGCTACAGTGCAAAAAGTATTACACACAGTCTTAATGGGAGGAGCCGGAACACCAAGATTCACACCAAACGCGGCCTTAGTCTTGGGAAGCAAAACAACTCCTTGCTACAGTGCAAAGTAACACTACAATGAATGGGAGGAACCAGAGCTGCCGAGAACCATACCAAATAGGTCCTCAATTTGCTCAGGACTAACTCCATGAAGGAAGTGGATTGCATTGGTTGGAGAGGGATAGCGATGTTCTACAGTTCTACTAGATTGGATTAATTCACGTTGCAGTCTATTATCAACAAGTCCATTGAAACGTAAAACAACACTATCCATTCACGTTTGTCCGTCTGGAAATGTTGAACCAAATATTACCCAAGTTCTATCAGTTCACTTTAAGGCACATGTATTAAAATGGATACGGGTATATCCAAACAAGCCTTGTCTGGCTATATATCTATATACAACTCAATCAATACACATATATTTAAGTGGGACGGAGGTGATAGATCGAGGTGGATAACAAATGCAGTTAAACAAGGGCAGACGCTAAACCAAACCTTGGAAATTGATGTTACCAAGTCTCGTTAGATGGACCAATGGATCAGTCACAAAAAACAAAAAGATGGACCAATGGATCATTCGACCAATGATATATAGGGTTGTTTGGATGTCATTCGTATTTTTAGAATCCATATAAATATAAAATCCGAATTATAAATTAAAAAACCGTGTTAGATTTCATTCTCATAGTGATTATTGATTTTGCATAGTAAAAATCTCTGAATAATAGATTTAGGATATATAGTTGGACTTTAGAATCTTATTGTTATTTTGGAGTCTCTAAAAGTGTTTGGATCTTATTATTACTCAACACAAATGTCTCGCGTTTTATATAGGAGATCCAAACAGTGTACAGTCACAGACAGTATCAACAATATCACCATCCGCATTGTATGATATATATTTTCGAAAGCAATATAGTGAATGAACCCAACATCTTTTGTAGATCTCCCAAACCGTTGAGAATTGATCTCGTGAGTTCTTGAAACAAACCGATAGAGTTATGTATACTAAGAACAAAATTGATTTAAGGTCGATTAAGATTTTTACATGCAAAATTGAGAGAAATTTGGGAAAAAAGAAAATCTACCTCGCTTAACACCGATCTACTTTTGAAACATCCGGATGCAACACTTGCAACGTACGTTTGTAGGCAAATGAAACACATGAAACATGCATGTGAAACACTAGCTGCAACACCAGATCTACTTTTGAAACATCAAGATGAAACACTTGCAACATACATACAAAACAACTGAAACACTCGAAACATTTGTATGAAACACTTGCAAAACACAACTGAAAACACTTCATCTATGTGAAAACATATGCAACATCGCCTCCACTTGCAAACATCCGGGGGAAACCGAAATGGGGACGGGAAGGAGACTGGAAACATACGAATTCCACAAGCATGTTGAAAGCTCTAGTTTGGTTTTGGTGAATTGATGAAACCCTAAGTGCTAACCTAGTTTATCAAGTGATTATGAGATAGGTAGCACATTCCAAGTGGTGAAGCAAATGAAGATCATGACATGGTGATGCCATGGTGATGATCAAGTGCTTGGACTTAAAAAGAAGAAAGAGAAAAATAAAAGGCTCAAGACAAAGGTATAAATGATAGAAACCATTTTGTTTTGGTGATCGAGACACTTAGTGAGTGTGATCATATTTAGGATCGATAGCCGTACTATTAAGAGGGGTGAAACTCATATCAGAATGCGGTTATCAAAGTGTCACTAGATGTGGAGATCGATGGCATTTAGGATCTAGTGGAGTGCTAACACCCTTAAAAGGTTTGTGAAAATATGCTAACAATGCATGTGCACAAAGGAGACACTTGGTGGTTGGAGTTGAGCAAGGGTAGGAAACTTCATGGATGGTCCACCAGGATCCATCGACTCTCACGATGCCCTCCTACAAAAAGCGAGGCATGGTGACCGGTTCAGATTGCGGTAGGACCGGGAGTATCCGACCCAGCGTCAAATAAGACTCGTCGGGTTTCCTTCTCTTTCTTCATTAAATTGCCTTCCACGTCTTCAAAATGCTGATGTGGCACCATAATAAATAAGGATGGACTCTATCGTAGAGTCTGGGTTGGGAGTGCCCTTAGAATCCATATAAATATAAAATCTGAATTCTAAATTAAAAAACCGTGTTAGATTTCATTCTCATAGTGATTATTGATTTTGCACAGTAAAAATATATGAATAGCAGTTTAGCGCTCCTATTTTGTAGACTACTCTATTTTTACTGAGGTCCTACGTCCGGCTAATATGCGATGGAGCGTCCGGACCCCGTCGCAGTGCCCAACTGAAGGGGTACCCCCTCTATTTCGTGGGGCTTTTATTTAAGCCCCATGGCGGTTCAAGCTCACTCTCTTGGCCATTTGCATTGACATAGCAACCTTGTGGAGTTCCGCCAAAGCCCTCCCACTCATCTCTATCATTGATTCATCATCTTTGTGATCCAAAAGGAGAGAATTCCTAGTGCATGCCTAGTGTTTGCATCTAGGGCAGGAGGAGACATCGAGGCAAAGACAAGGCAGCAAAAAATCGATGACAGAGATGTAACACCCAATCTACTTTTAAAACATCCGGATACAATACTTGCAACATACGTTTGTGAGATTGTCTCCGAAACATCGTGTGGTGATGTGAGTGGTTCTTGACTAGCCGGACACCCAAAATCTACTTTTTAAAACATCCAGATGAAACACTTATAACATACGTTGGTTAAACTCTATTGAAACACTTGAACATTTGATGCCAATTAACACTTGCAAAACACAAGTGAGTGAAAACATCACATCTGTGGAGTAACTATAAGCAAGTGAACCTCGATAAAAATCATTGTGTTCATCATTTGATTCCGAAAATTGGTCTTCAATATTTTCAACATGTGATTGAAACATACATTTATAACCATGGTAACCTTGTCAACACTTTTTTTCTACTTTTGCAACATCTAGAGATCAAGCTCTTTAGTATACCTAATTTTAAAACATCTGTTAACACTTAAACATATCTTTAGTTAGCTTTTTGAGAGGATACTAACTTAGGAGTGTCATAGCTATTGTGTAGATCAAACTATATAAACTAGTAGGCTAGCTGCAACAACAAGCCGCACGGGCAATTGTCTCAACCGTTCGACGTTATTGGCGTTTTTAATAATCTTGTCTCCCACCTCTAGCCATTAGGAGCATCACGTGTGTAACATTCTGATCTACTTTTGGTGGAGGTAGATAAAACACTCGCAATACTCAATGGAACATCCGCGGACTTGAAAAATACTGTTGCAACATGACTTTTGCTTGGACAAATGGAGGCACGCTGGCGCGGAGGTCACGCATGGACCTCGCTGTGCAGCAGCGGCACGGGCAACTCGCCGGTGGACGCAGCGTCACACGAATCTTGTCTCCCTCGCCTGCTTGCTGGAGCATCTGTCACGAAGGCTCACTGGCATGGTGGAGACAGCCGCGGCTCGCCAGCTCAGTGGAGGCCGCGGCGAGGAGGCAGCGCGGTGGAGGCGAGCGGAGAAGGCCGCAGGGGACGGGGACGGGGACGGGGACGGGGACGCGGCACAGCGAGGGACCGCCGGTGGCGTGGGAGAAAACGCAGCGAGTATCGAGATGCGCTGACGGGACGGCAGATAGTATCGCTGGGTGAGCGGCGTGTGCGAAAGTGAACGGAGGGATCATTATTGCTACCTTTCACATTTCTTTCTTTTTCTGCCTCGGATTGTCTCATTTCTTTCATCTCCGATTCGATTCCTTGTCCCCTCCTTTAGTCCGATCCGCCACCAAACCCTAACCACCTAAAACCCCCGTTTCGCTCTCGGATGGCCGCCGCCTCGCTGCCGCCCTCCCCACCCCACGCAAAGCGCCCCAGGATGTCCTCTTCCTCCGACCCGGAAGCCGATTCTGAGCCCACCTCGGCCTCCGCCGCCGTTGAGGGTGCCGATCCTGCGCAGCGTCGCCCCAAGTACAAGCGCCGCAAGGTCGCCATCCTCCTCGGGTACTGTGGCGCGGGGTACCAGGGCATGCAGAAGAACCCGGGCGCGCGCACCATCGAGGGGGACCTCGAGGAGGCGCTCTACCAGGCGGGCGCCGTGCCCGAGGCCGACCGGGCCGCGCCGCGCCGTTACGACTGGGCACGTGCTGCGCGCACCGACAAGGGCGTCAGCGCCGCGGCGCAGGTAGTGTCCGGGCGCTTCTACGTCGACCCGCCGGGCTTCATTGATCGCTTGAAGGCCCAGCTCGCGCCGCAGATCCGCGCCTACGGCTACGTGCGCGTAACCAACTCGTTCAACGCGAAGAAGTTCTGCGACCGCCGGAGGTACCTGTACCTGCTCCCCGTGTTTGCTCTTGACCCCAGCGCGCACCCGGACCGCGAGGCCGTCATGGCGAGCATGGGGAGTGGGAGCGAGCTTAGCAAGTGCCTGGAGTGCTCCGAGAGAGGCAGGAAGGTGCCTGGTGTCATGGGCCGGGAGGGGAAACTGCCCAGCCCCGGGCAGAATGCTGTTGATGCTCCCGTGGAGGGAAGTGTGGCCAGCCATGACGAATCTGGAACACTTGGGGATGCAAAATGTGATCATGCAAGTTCAGATGGTGGTAACCCATGTGCCCATGGGGAGGTTGTATTGAACAGCAAGGAGAAGCTTGATTTGCCGGTCTCTGGTGATGGAACTGAAGTTGCAAATGCTGATGTGGGATCAAATGGTGCCGGTGATGTTGTACCATCAGGTACTGGATGGAAATCAAATCTTGTAATTCTAATCTGTGTTGGCTAGTGTTAATTAGATCTTTGTTCTGATCTGAATAAGTTCAGCTAATGCAGATATTTATATTGGCAATGAGGAGAAGAAACTTGAGCCTGTAGCTACTGAAGAGAAAGCGCAAGGTATTGATTCCGAGAAGAGCAATGGAGAAGAGAAGCCGCCAACTAAGAGCACCTTTTCTTACACTAATGAAGTGAAGGAGAGGTTCAACAGGATTCTCAAGTACTATGTTGGGACTCGCAATTTTCATAACTTCACCACAAGAACTAAAGCAGAGGATCCTGCAGCAAAAAGGTTTATCATTTCCTTTGGCACCGATCATGTTGTCAGCCTGGATGGGATTGATTTTGTCAGGTGTGAAGTTGTTGGACAGAGTTTCATGCTCCATCAGATCCGGAAAATGATTGGTCTTGCTGTAGCTGTGATGAGGAACTGTGCACCAGAATCAATTTATGATGTCACCTTTCGCAAGTATGATTCTTGTAAGCTTTTTGGTGTTAAACAATCCATATAACGTATGTTTGCAACTTACGGCATGTGTGTTGCAGGGATGTCAACCTTAATGTACCTACTGCACCTGAGGTCGGTCTGTACCTAGATGAATGCATGTTCACATCATACAACAAGAAATGGAAGGATTCACATGAGGCAGTTTCCATGGAACCTTATTATGAGGAGGCTGAAGAGTTCAAGGTCAAGTATATTTTCACTCATATTGCGGCAATGGAACACAAGGAAGGAGCTGTAGCTTTGTGGTTGCACTCATTGAACCACAGAAATTATCCAGATTTCCGCTACATGGAAACTGCTGAGCCCAAGGTTGGTGCTGAAGTTGAGAGTATTGATGCTGGTGCAGAGGCCAAGGTTGGGGCTGAAGTTGAGAATATTGAAGAAGCAAAAATGCCAAGCGATAATCTAAGTGAGTAATAAATTTTGCCAAGGGGCATGCAAAACCGAAGAGGATATCTGTTTGTGGTATGTACTGAGAGGGACCTGAGACATTTCTAATGAGATATCATAATATAGAGAATGAAGACTCACATGTTCTCCAATGGAATATGAACATCAAGAGGTTAATGTGCATGGCTTTATGCCATCATGATCCCTATATTAATCTTCTGAAATAAGAATCTATAGGTTTATATTAGTCTTATCTGAACTTCATTAGTTGCTTCCAGACAGTTGTATGACAAATGATGGCACCTGAAAATGCTTCAGCAATGTTTTTGTCTGCTGAAATTATTATGGGATTCACTATATTTTCTCTTATCTAGCATATAGATTTATTTTCTTGCATTTTTTCTTTTGGTAATAGCTGTATATCACTTAGTCTGCTTGATAGTGCGTCAAATTTCACTTGCAGCATAACATCTATTGATATTGCTAGTACATTTTTGTTGAGCACATGTTGGAGCCTTGAAGATCCAAAATTAACCTGATTAACCCTTGTCCTACTGATAGTTAGCTAGGGTAAGTGCGATACAGTGGTAGGGAGACAGGTAGTTTATTTTCTAGACAGTTAATTTTATCTCCAAATAATAGTCTTTGCAGGTGAAACTAGATGGTCATTAAATTTATCTTTTGTCTGGTGTTTATTTTGAATTTTTGAAGTATTGGTTAGATATTGGATGTATGGTCGCGCAAGCGTTGCGGAAAAAGTCATACTACATTTTTATGTGGTGTATTGTAGCATTTTATCATTTGAAAATTATCATGTCAGAAAGTGAACTACTACATCAGTTTTATTCAAAAAGAAATTGCTAACCTTGAAAGCTAAATTGTAATACGGGACGGGATCACCGGATACAAGACCAAATCTGAGCTCTATAACCTTGTTTCTTGGCTTGGTGGATCGTTTTGGCAAGATTTGTGTGGTCTTATCTTGTTTAATTTTCTCCCTTATGGGCTTAAGGTAGGAGGTTCTGCGACACCCTCCAAATGTTTTTACAAGTTATTTTATTAGTTCTAGTACCACATTTGCAAAATCATGTTTTAGAATGTTGATTGTGACTTGTTTAATAATTGGGTCTTGAACTGCCTTGACATGTTAATCTTGCACACTTGCAGGCAAAGCATCTCGAGTTAAAAAAGTATATGCTTGTCCTTTAATCTAAATAATTATTACTTAACGTTTTACACATCTTATGAAAATATGGAATATAAAGTTGTATCTGTTTGTGAATGGAATAGACAACAAAACACTAAAGATGTGCAATGTTCGCAGTGCTCTTTTTGTCAACACATCATGATTCCTAGGTTAATCGTATGTTTGTACTTTGTTATTTGCTCCAGACAATTGTATTACCCATTATTGGCACCTGAAACTAAAAGTAGTTTGTTTTCTGAATTGTTTATGGGATTCATTAATGTCTCTCTATCTGATGGCTAGTTGCATTTCAATTCACTGTATCTAGTTTGAAGAGCACCATACTTGATCCTTGTTTCAGTACATGGGGTCAGAGTTGTTTTGGCCTCTGAAATCTGACGATATATGTTCGAAGCCTCTTGCTGGCATGGATACATTACATCCGGAATGGACTCTGCCATCTGTCTTGATTAGTCATGGTTCTCTTCTGCTGCTTGTGTAGAGCATGGAACCATCTATCTTGATTCTTGAGTAGTCAGGGTTCTCTGCTTGTGTATAGCTTGGAACACCATGCCTGAATACCTGATTAACCCTGTTACTGATTAACCTTGAGTAGTCAGGGTTCTCTGCTTGTGTAGAGCTTGGAACACCATACCTGAATACCTGATTAACCCTGTTACTGATTAACCTTGAGTAGTCAGGGTTCTCTGCTTGTGTAGAGCTTGGAACACCATACCTGAATACCTGATTAACCCTGTTACTGATTAACCTTGTTACTGCTAACCTGATGGGACATGTGCTATCTATCTCCGAGTCCCAAGAGTCGTCGTTGTAGGTGAAACTGAACTGTCAAGAATGCAATTGAATAATGAAAGTATCTTCCATCCATTTTTCTGTAGTAGTAGTAGAATCAATTATTGCAACACTTGCAGATATAACTGTACTTTTTTTTTTGACAGTGATATAGCTGTACTATTTATTAGGTGATGCCGTGATGGTGTAACATTTCATGATTTGAAGCTGATCATGTAGGAAAGTGGACCTTATCCAGGAAGTATTTTAACCTTCAAAGTATCCATTTTGAAAAAAAAACATCCATGATTCTTGTTTGGTGGATGAGCTCGGCAAGATTTGTGGATTCTATTGTTTTTCCTCATGGAGCCAGTAGGAGTGCGCTCTTTGATCACCTTTTCCATGTTACTCTTGCACACTTGCAGTAGTCATTTCGTGAGTCCACAGAACATTTGGATCTCTTTATCCTTTACACTAACGTATATACTTAGGCCAATCTCAATGGGATGTCATGGGAGTGTCATGCACATTAATTAGGGTGACACATCAGTATGAGAACACTTTTTGCATGAAATGGTGAGGAGAGAGAACAAGTTCGTTTCATGGCCATGACACTCGCCAGCTCTGTTTCTAAGCTCTCGGTAACCCCACGATACCCGCATTGAGAGGGGAGAGTTGGAAATCGTGTAGTGAAACTGGCCTTACGTACACAACTAAACTACGGTACCGAAGTTCTATGAAGCCAGGCAGCTACCTCCTACCAACCATAACACAGAAGCACGCCGTTCCGGCGGCGGGAATCGGGATACCGAGGTGTCCATGGACGCGGCGACTAGGAGACGCAACGTAGCGAGTGCAGGGACGCCGAGGTGTCCATGGACGCGGCGTCATACATGCAGCGGCTCTCCGTCGTCTCGATGCCGTAGTCCATCAGCGGGCGGCGCTCCAGCTCGTCGTCGTGCTCGCGCACGCAGTCCGGGACCTCCAGCTGCCCCTTGTCTATGTGTGCCCACACGTACTCGAGCCGGCTCATGTATCGCAGCTTCTCATACAACCTGCAAGACCCCGTACCTCGTAAATTTTCAGCTCCGCGGGCACGACAGACCCGGATCGCAGGGAATTCACTATCGTACCCTGAGCTGAAGAGGAAGCGGCCGAAGGTGGCGAAGAAGAGCCTGGACTGCAGGGCCGGGTGCACGAAGTAGACGGCGCGCAGCCTCTCCTTGGCCGCGGCCAGCAGCGACTCGTACGCGCCGCGGATCGCGCCGACGCCGGGGAAGTTGCGGCCGCGGTCCACGCGGGAGTGCATGTACACCACCACGAACTCCCGGTCCCCGATCTCCGGGAGCACGCGCTCCCGCAGGTACGACCGCAGCGCCTCCTCCGCCCGCCCGCCCAGCGCGCGCGCTGCACATGAGGCAGAGGCAACGTCCGTCAGTTCCACGGCACGGCACGGCACGGCGAAGCGCTTGCGATCTGGGCGAAATCTGAGTCGCTGCTTACCTGGCAAGTAGTTGCCAACGATCCTGACGACGGCACGGCCCTTCCGGTCACGGCCCTGCAGGGTGATCGCCCGGCTGCGCTCCAGCAGCAGCGCCGGCTCGCCAGTCGCGTCCTTCTCAACGGTAACCACCATGGCTTGGCTTCGGTTCCGTGGTCAGTTGGTCACTCACTCCTTTTTGAGTTTGCGTGCGTGCGTGCTCACCGTTCGTATACCGGTACGATTCGCGTGTTTTGAGGGGGGGTCACACGGGGGCGCGTTTAAATGCGGCCGATCCGGTCCGAGCGGCTCGGCGTGGACTGGGAGTGGGGTGGCGGGCGCGGCGGGGCCTAGCCCCTGGGCCGTCGCGCGGGGATGGGCGCGGGCGGTGGATGCGAGATCCCGCGGAATATGCTGCGGATATTTCGGTTTGGGGAGCGTGGAGCGGATTGGATCGGCGCGGGGGAGGCGGGCCACGTCCGTCCCGCGGCTACCCTTCTCATCAGTTTGTGTTTGTCTGGCGCGATGGATTATTAGATGGAACCGGGAGTCAGTGAGGTCAGGAAACCGGGGACGTTCTTGCGTGTGTAGACAATCGGGTCGACGTAGAGTACTTGCTTCTGTGGGCGGCAGCTTGCACGCGATCTGGGCCGACGGCATGAGCTGCGTGGGCCGCGTGGCCTTATCGCTTGCGCTGGACGGCTGGAGCCTGGAGCGGGACGATCTGCTGCTACTGGAGGATTGCTGTCCTGCCTCATTTTTTTAAACGACTTCCGTTGCCACGGAACGATTATTATTATATTCATGTATTCGCGGTGATACATTCATATGACAAAAAAAAAAAATCTTATAACCATTTATATGATGCAACAAACTGGAAGTTAACTATTCTAGATTCCAATATGTAAGGGCAAGTACACAGGTGCTGTTTCGTAAGAGGTCTCACGTAGACATGTAGTATCATATAATTTTAAGACAGACTTAACAGACTACTAGGGCACTATGACGACTTAACAGACTATTAGTATAGTGCTCTTGCTAACGCCACGGCTGTATTTCAGGGATGCACATGAAAACAACCAAATGACGATATTTTTTTCCCATGGCTTAAGTTTCACGCAATTACTATGAGCGCAACAACACATATTCTATTGCACGTGCTACCGCTATGGCATCTAGAAAAACAAATCAAACATCCAAAAGGTAATATCATTTGTTGTTGCACTGATAGTAATTTTTCTCAATACCAATTAACATATAAAAAGTAAAAACATCTAGGCTATGATAGTTTAGTTTAGTTTTTTTTGGTCTAGGAACTCTTGCAGTGTAGATATATTCTTGAAGAATCATAGTATAATACTCGTGCTAACGCTACGGTAACATTCTAGGTAATGCAAATTAAACAAACAAAAGGGTATATGTTTGGTTAATTTTAAAAATTCATTAACTTAAAAGCATCATAAAAAAATCAAGCCAGCCAATTGTATATTAAATATTAAATATTAGTATTCAAAAAGAAATGCTAAATATCACTTGCATATGACACAATTCAGTTATGAAAAGATGTCATTAGGTTAAAAAATAACACTAAAAAATAATTTAAGCTTCGCTTGTAGGAATTGGTCTTCCATTCAGTTTCAGCCGCTTGCACACGTCCAATATCAATCCTGAACCAAGAAAGTATTATATATTTGCTAGCACCACAATACATTGCTACAGATCAAGTATTCACAAATATTGCAGTGGTATATGTAAGCTCAAGGATTTGACTATTTAATTAGTTGGCAGTTGACCTAGGACTGAAATAAGAAGGCAAAGAAAATCATTTGCTCAAGCTGATGGCCTTTACGGTTGCAGACTTGCACATCACTAGGAAAACTAAAAGGGATGGATATTTCATCAATTCGGAGACAATTGGATCATTGTTCATGTGCTCTGGAAATTCAATCTCTATGTATTGAAAACAGAGGGTATCAACTGAAAACAGAAGGTATTTTATTCATTTATGAATATACACAAACGCTACTGAATCAGATTATGTAATTAGATACTCAGTCCAGGCAAAGATCAGACACTTGATATTAGCCTTAGTTAAAAAAAATTGTATCAATCCAGCTACCATCATGGCCTTCAGTAAAGAGTAATAATAGAACAGGTCGCTAACTTACCCTCTCCTCCATGATCCATAGCATTGCCCATGGTATGAACATTTGCATCTTCTGAAAGCAGCAAAAAAGAGTGGGCTGAAATCAATTTCTATGATTCACTGTAGACATCTGAAAAAATAACCAGTCGTATTCTATGAAATCCAACACAACCAATACTAAACACTGAAATCTAACAACAAAATTTTGACCACAATTGGAACAATATGCAGCGTGTTTGGCTCGGCTCAGCTTGTTTCAGCTTATTCTCTCTCACAGAACACTATTTAATCAGCCAAAATCAGCCGAACACCCTTCACAGACTGGATCAGCCAAACGAGCTGATGACCTTCTTAGATAAATAGTGGAAAATGTCATTTAATAAAAAAAAAGATCCGCGGCAGTTTCATATTATTCTCTATGACAGTTTGCCAGCAAATCTAATTAGGCAATAGCTAAGTTCACTATCTGACCACTTTAGAGTCTATTCCCAGTCAAGTAATTTTACTGAGGTATGATTCTTTTACACGATCTTATATTAAATAGTCAGCTCAAGAGAAAAGTGGAATGATAAACTGGAGTTTATAGTTTGAATAGTTAAACCAGCATGACAAAAGATTAGGATCCTAACAGCATTATTGTCAATCCACAAGGAAGCAATCTTACCACTGGGGGTGGGCTCAATTGCCATCTCCCAAATAACAACAATACCATGCGAAGAAGTAGAAGCAAAAATTGCAATAGTATCAGACACCACCCTTCCAGCAAGACAGGTGATCCTTTTCTTATGCATCCCTGGGAGCTGCAAGTCTGCAACGCATGAAACCACTGCAAAGAAGGCGTGAACAGTAAGCTGCAGCTTACAAAATGTAGCAGACCAGGAGGTAAGGCTAAACATAAGAATTAGGTTTGTGTGGAGATTTGATTTTCTTTTCATTTGTATGTTAAGTAAAGACCAACCTTTGTTCCTATCAAATAGAAAATAAAGAGCTTAACATACTCATATATGCACCATTTCACATCAAAATCTAGTCCATGTTTGCACAACAAATATAATTTAACAGAAAGAACAAAAAATCAAAAGGCTATGGCAAATCAAGCATCAAATAAAAGGATGGACCAAAATTGTGGCAAATAATTTTACAAAAGAAAATAATTAGCAATGTTCATTGTCACAATCTAACAAAGGATGTGGACCTCTGTGATAACCACATGCTTGCGACACTTGCTGATGATTGTTTGTCCAGTTAAGGTGCAAAGCAATTTCATTCATAAAACTGATGATTGTTTATGTGCAGCTGACAGCAAAGCAAATGAGTTACCTAGGACAGGCAAGATTTTCTTGCAGACATCAAGGAATGGCTTGGTAAGAGTGACTATGTTCTTTGCCTTGACATGCTCCATCCCTTCTAAAGAGGGGGTGAACACCGTCTGTGCCATCTATGAACCTGAAAGAATCAACAAATATATCAACCCTTCATCACAAGCAGGGGCAGACCCAGTAAGGGACATGGTGTACACATGTACACCCAATAAATTTTGCAAAAGAAAGTATCGTATTCATTAGGCAAATACATATACAAACTTTCTTTAGATCAAATCCGAATAGGGTTAGGGTGCTCGGTTTGGGACAGAAGCAAGGGAAGAGAAGGGGTGCGAATACCTGGTGGTGTTGGCCGGCGGCAGCAGGTATACGGCGCCAAAATCTCTTGTGTGGGAGGGTATGGGCGCCACCGCTGGTTGGGGAAGAAGACGCTACCGTCCGTTGGACAAGGGGGTGCCGCAGCAGGTGGGGAGTGGGTACGGGGCGCCGCCGCATGGAGGAAGCCGTCGTCGTGGCTGACATCGAGGTGAGTGTCGCCGCCGGTGAGGATCAAGAGGTGCCGCCGCCGGATCTAGTCCACGGAGTCGCGGGATGGGGGCGCCGCTGCTGTCATCGGAGAGAGGGCACAGGAACCGCGACCGCCGCCTCGCGCCCTGCGGCTTCGCCTCATCGCCGAGGCAGCCCATCGCGGCATATTCGGAGGCGAGGGTTTCCTCACGCCTCGCTCCCCTTCCCTGGCGCCCTGGTGGTGGGGCCAGCACTGGCCTCGTGGCCAACACGGCCGGCCGGGTGGGTGTAACACCCTAGGTCTTAGTACAGGCTAAAGCAGTGGGATTAGACTTAAACAAGATATGTCAAGCGGTGGCAAGGTGTGGAGTTTAACTCTTCTAACATGAGCCCTAACCTAAACTTTGTTTGCATGTTTACTTTTTGCAAAGTTGGCATGAGTAGTGTTAATCATGTCTCTTTCATCTGAGTTAGTAAAATCTTGATCATGGTCATCATCATGCTTTATTATCAAGCCTTGTGTCATGTATGCATTTCATGTTTCAATTATAGCATTCATATGTTGTATATGTTTTGTTGTGTGACCATGAAATGTTAGCAATAATAATGATTAAGACACTTTGTGATTTTATAGTATGAAAAATTCTTAAATACTTGAAAATGTACTAATATAAAATTTGATGTACAAAGTATGCACTTTACACTAGTATCAAGTTTGGGTATTGTTTCCAAGTCTAACATGTTTAAATTTGAGTTCAAAAATTGAATTCAACACTGTTTTCAGCATTTAACCATTTCGGCTGTCCCTGAAAACAGTAATAAAGTTCAATCTTTGGAGTTTAATTAAAATGATTTTCATAAATAAAATTTGTGCAACTTTGCTTCTATAAATTGGTATGAAGTTTCTACTTTGATACCGTGCTATTTTTGGATTGTTTGGAAGTGTTTTGTCCACTAATTAATTACCTAAAAATGCTTAATCAAATATATTATGGAAGCACTAAAACTGAATTCAGTTTTCAGTTTCCATGTACATGTTTTCAAAACTCAAAATCTTTCAAACTAGTGAGAGTTTGATGTTGATCCTTTAAGCAAAGTTGTTGTGCTCATGTAGCTCTACAACCTGGGCAAATTGGTTTGATCTTTTGTCGCTTGGATCAGGAGATAGAGAGGAGCCAAGGCGGGGTTTCAGTCTGTGAACAGTAACCGGCAGCAGCTTGCCTGCCTCCCTCACCACTGCTCGCCGCCGGCAATCTGCCCTTTCACGACGTTTCCCGCGTGTGGGCACGTTGTTGGCTGCGTGGCCAGCTCGAGTCGCAGCTGGCGAAGTCCAGAAGCAGCTCCGCGCCTGTTTAAAGTCCCAACGCCGGCCGCCGTTCCTCCTTTTCCTTCTCTGCCGCCGGCAATCCATGGCCGCCGCGCAAGGGCCGCCGTGCGCTCACTCTCTCCGTTCACCTCCGCCCAAGCCGGCCACACTCTCGCCTTCCTCAGGTCGCGCCGCGCCTCCTCAGCCCCTCCTCCGGCCGCCTCCCTCACCGGAGTGCAGCTTGCCGCCATGTCCGTCGATGCAAGGCCGCCGGCGCAAGTGGCCGGCCCTTCACCGACCGTCTCCGGCCACGTTTCGACCTCCCACGGCTGCGGCGGGGCATGGAGATTCCCCGACACCTCTCCCTCGCCGCTGACGAGCACCTTCCCCACCGGAACCGGCCTTCCCGTGCGCGTCCTCTGCTCCAATTCGCGTGAAGGACCTCGCGCAACAATAGAAGCTCTTCCAGGGGTTTTCTGCATGAACTGTGACTCAGGTGAATAGTACGCTACATGGTTTTTATTTTTCTTTTACGTGTTTTCAGCTGAAACTTTAGAAATTCATAGTAATTCATAGAAAAATCATAAAATAGAAAATGAAGATGTTCTATAATCCTCGTAAGTAGATCTATGCAGTGGATGTATAATTTTGTATGTTTTAGTAGAAAGTTTTTGATGTAGGATTATATCTATGCTATTTATGGTTTTCTATGGCTAAATTCATATCTGCTGTTATGTTGATCCAATTGATGTGAAATTTTTGTGGTAGGCCATTTATGTGATGCTTGTTCTGTGGTAATAATTTCAGCTTTATTGGAGCATGTATGAATGAGTTTTTTTATTTACCTAGGTTAATGCTTGTTTTGTGTGCAGTTTCTGTTGAGGAACTGTTTTTATAGTGAAAATTATCTTTTCTGTATTTATGATCTATACAAAAGTTGTAGGTACCTTGTTGATCTTGGTTTTCCTAAAATGTCATGAATTTAAGCCAACTGGTTTAGGAGTTATAGATTTTACAAGTTCACTGTCTAGGTTTTGCATGTGCTCTGTACAATTCTGAAAGATTGGGTTGTTTGACTAATATAACTTTTGAATCACCTCTTGATGATAATGAAGGAGTTATAGTTCTTTTCTTAAGATTTCCATAAAGTCTAATATCACCTTTGTTGGATGACTATAATTTCAGTTATGGTCAAAACAAGTGGCTGCTGTGCTGCAGTCCAGAAAAATGATTTTTGCTAAGTTTGATTGCTTTAACTTGATATGAGTAATATGTTTGTTAGTGTTAACTCATGCCTTAGTTAAGGTTGTTTCCATCTATCTAAAACAGCTGGTCCCTTTGTGGTTTAATGATAATCAACTAATTAAGCTAATAGATGGTCTTGTATGCAGGTTGTTAGAAATAATTGTTTGTCTAATTTTTTTGTGAGTTCTATGAAATGTGTGTGATATGGGAAATGTTAAACACTTGCTGATCCATGTTAGATTAATTACTTTCATGATTAACATGTGTTTCTTTATAATTCAATTATAGAGAGTTACTATTCCTTATAATTGAATTATAAGAGTTGTTTTGAAATGATAATGACTTGTATGCTTTAGATGAATTAGAATCTTTGCCTTCTCTACTGGAGAAGAGATATGCACCTACTCAGTAAAAGATTTAATTATAAGCAACACCTTATTACCTTTAAGTTGTTAATACAACACTAGTTTCCTATGCTACTAGGGCTGCATGAATGCATTGTTGATTCTGTATCATGACATCTTTGATCATGGTTAGTATGGCTAGCTTGCATGAGAATGCCTTGATATTGTTTTGCTATTGTAGCTTAGTAGGTTTGTGTGATGTTTAGTTGACATTTCATTCATCCATGTGCCTAGGTCAATTCTGTTGTGACCTTATACTTATCTTGTTTGCAATTGCATGATGCTTTTTGTTTTGCTCTTTCTCATATGTATGCATTGCATCTTTGCATATATCATATAGGTACTCTAGATGACGAGCACCGAACTGAAGAATATGATGTCAAGAGTGAAAGGTTCTAATGGTTAGAGGGGGGTGAGTAGCACTAAGAGCAATGCCATTGTTTTGGAGAAGCACTTCTACGGCCGTGGTGGGATTCTTCGGATCAGCTATCTTAATTTTGGTCTCCACCACCTTCCACACTCTTCTATTGATTGACTTGATATGAGTGGTCATCTTTAACTTTTAATATGGATAATTTGTGCCATCAAATTGGGGTGGCTTCTTAGTATTGTTGATTTAAGTCATTTTGACACCGAAGGTTGTTAAGCCTCAAATCACGGTGACTACGACTCTGATACCACTTCAAAGGTCCTAATGGTTAGAGGAGGGTGAGTAGCGTATTAAAAATTTCTACAACAACACAAAAGCAAGTGATTAGTCAATAAGATGGCGAAGCGAATTTTACGCTAGCACTACACTTGGGGTTGCAAGCCATCTACCCAAATTCTAATTTCTATGATCTCTAGTATATCATACAAGAGCTATGTCACTAAATTACACCTAAGTGAACAAAGCTAGCAAGATAACTTCAACTAAAGAGCTACACAAGCTACAAGCACTACACAAGGTGAATACAAAGTAATGAGGGAGAAGGGTGGAAGTGATATACTGCCGTGGCAAGTGATCGATCAATGAATATCAATGAATACCGAGGAGACAATTAAGACAATGATTTTTCCTCTGAGGTTCACTTGCTTGCCGGCAAGCTAGTCCCCGTTGTGGCGATTCACTCACTTGGAGGTTCACGCGCTAATAGGCATCACACGCCCAACACACAACCGGGTGCCGCACAACCAACACAAGACGAGGATCCACAAGCCACGCGCAATCCACTAGAGTTGCCTTTGGCGCTCCGTCGGGGAAGGCACAAGAACCCCTCACAATCACAATGATTGGAGCCAGAGACAATCACCTTTCTCCGCTCGATGATACACCAATCATCGGGCCATCTAGGTGTCGGCTAACACCAAGAGTAACAAGAACACCAGCCCAAATCGCCCAACTAGTGCCACAAGATGCTAGAACACTAAGCAATGCACTAGAGGCTCTCCAATCTCACTCAAGATGATGAAATCAAGTGTGCAAGTGAGTGGAGTGGTGTGCTTAGCTCTCAAAGGGTGTATGCAGTCGTTAGAAGTGCCAAGAGAGTGGCCAAGGCCGACCACTAGCTCTATTTATAAGCCCACATGCAAATAGAGTTGTTACCCCTTTAGAGCAGCTTTCTACGAGGGCACCGGA